TTGGCAAGTGACAACAAATTATGCAATTTTAAACCTATTTTATATTTACCTATATGTCTACAAATCATTTCTGTGAGAAAAAAAATAACCACATATGAAGTAATTTCATGAATATTAATAAAATAAAAAAGTATTGTCACTTTTTATTGTGATCGATATAAATATTATATATATAATTGTCTCCCAAAAACGTGGTCATATATTTTAAAGCTTTGTTTTTATATTTCAGTCTTACATGTGTGGTACTTGTAACAAAGAATTTCTTTCAAGATCAAGCCGGTCAAGGCATGTCCGATTTTTCCACACAAAACATGAACTAGGGTGTGGAGAGTGTACAAAAACATTCAGTTCCAAAGATTCTTTGAGAAGGCACGACAGAACAGTACACCAGGTAATTATTTGGTACAAAATCTTTAAGCAGTATTAAACATGTGTCGATTTTACATTATTGTAATTTGTGTTATACAAATGTACCAGTGAAATGGAATTACATCATATAATTGTTCCATACAAATGCAGAATGAGATTTCTGATTTTCTTATCGACAATGTTAATGAGATATATCGTTTTGGTTGCATCTGCAGCCTGATTTCTGCGCCTATCATTATCAAATAATATTCGAGTTCAATAATTTATCGAATTTCAATAATGGTTGAAATTTTATTCAGTTTTTCGACTATGGATTATACCTTATCAAACAGGAAGGAAAATACGCGATATACTATATCATAAGTTTGAAAAAGGAGTGATCTTTAGACAATTCCATTGCTTTTGTTATAGTTAGTCATGCGGAAGACACATCAGCAAGCAGGCACGTTTGCCGGTGATACCTGCCAGAAAGTCTACGGAAGGAAATAAGACTTGAAAATCTATCTTTCCAGAAACAATTAGGTAATATTATGTGCCTAACATCACTCGATGACATACAGTTCAATAAAGTATCCAACAAAAACCCGTCACTATAGGTAACACAGAATATGGCACTACTTTTCAACATTTCAAAATCGTATGTACAAGTACCGGCGTGTTGTTGAACATTTGTTTTTGTAAGATTCTATTAGAAATATTAATTGATTACCAATACAAGAAATTTTAAAATAACAACATATTTCATTTGTATATTAATACAGGCTAGACCACCTATCAACGTGCCTTCACCAACACCAGTTGATACAACAGCTCCAGCACTGTCGCAAACTCCAGGTGCAGTTCAAGTTTACGCAATAGATTTTGAAGATAAGATGGTAATTGACAACGATTTAGACTTGCTAGAAATGGAGCCAATCCGTTTTTAGGTAAGATTTTTTGCTCAGTTGGTGATAGTGTAGAACAAATTAGATAACTTTTGGTTTTATATTTACAAAGATCGTTTCCACGAATACAATTATTTATTAAACAAATATTACTTGCACGGAACTTAGTGCTAACTGATAAAAAGTTACTTTCTTTATATTCCTTCTTTATTGAATCCCTAATGATCAAGATATAAAACAAGATCAGACTATGCATTCTTTTTGTTTTGTTTTTTTTTCAATGAACACATCCTCCTCCTCTTAATAATGAAAAAAAAACAAATATACGGACATACTACTGGTTATAGGAGAGACGGTAGTAATTATTAGTAATTCCGGTTTTTTATTTTACAGGTTTCATTAAAAAACAGAGGAAAGAGGTAGGAGTAGATGTGTGTGAGATATTTAGCAGATATGTGGTAGGACTGTTTTCTAGTGCTTTTTTATGTCAGTGTATAGATGTTAGAATATTTGATGTTAAAGTGCAACTATAATAATTTTTATTGCATAGTTTTTTAGGTCTACTTTTGAGTGTGTTATTTATAAAGCATGTGTGTTTGTTGTGAAATGAAAGGTATCTAGTGCTAACTGATAAAAATGTTATGTATATTTTTATGTTGTTATATGAAAGTGTAGAAGAGTGTCTGTTTTAGTGTACGGTGGTTTGTTTGAGCTTCTGGGTAACTAATGTTTCTTTCTGTTTTAATTTTAATAATATTTTTTTTCAGGTAAACAGGGCAGTTCCCAGATGATGAAAAAATGGGATTCACCACAGTTTACGCACTTTGAAGATTCAAAGTACATGTTGTTCCCTCGTGTCCTTCGCAAGAACACTTGAAGCATCTCTGCGTACCACGACATTGTTTGGTGCCATGACCAAACGTTTGACAAGTGAAGCATCGAATTGGGTTAGGGATAAACATGTCAACTCTGATTCCGAAGCAACCTAAAGTAATAGAGGAAGGAGGAGTTGGAGTTCTAAATGTCTGAAGATATGCATTCAATTTTATTACATTTCCATTCTTTTTCATTTGAAATCTTATAACATCAGTTACACCTTGACTGGAAAGTTGCTCACATATTTCTTCTACGGTCACCAAGGTATTGACTTCTGTCTCGATTGATTCCCTTACAGCTGTTGAAACTGTTGTGAGGAGAGGCAGAAACAAGAAAGTTTGTTATTGTTGTCATTGTAAGCAAAGGCCTAAGAAAATAAAATGTTTGAACCATTTCAAATTGGATCATAATGTTTAGAAATGCATAAGGTCAAGAAATGTAAAGGAAAAACATAAAGATTTTTATCTGATGACCTTACGTCATAATATGTACTGTTTTCACAAAAAAAAATACAGAATTTATGCAGTTTTCTGTCTTTATTTCCGTTGTGGAAACATCCTGCGCAACCGAGAAACAACAAAATAATTTAACAAAAGCTTTATTATAACTATTGGCATAATCTCACCAAATATAAAGTTGTTTCTTGGGTGCGCACATACTTTTTCAATCTAAAATATACTTAAAATTTGATGAAAAAACAAGGTAAATCACGAAATTTAACAAAATATGCAATGAAGTTATTCATTCCAGATTAATGGCTACCGGAGACCAATTAAAAAAATCTTTATCTGTACTGAAAGACACCCAGAATCTTTTTTTGTTTGTTTAAAACCAAACTGATCGTCATGATATTTATACTCAATTGCAAGCAGTTTAATCTTGCAATAATAATAAGCATGTTAATCTTGCAATAGTTATAAAGTCTTATGTGAGGATGGTCTTCCAACTTAACAACAAAACCATCACAGGGAGCCAGGAAGTTTATATACCTGTCACACAGAAAACAATTCAAACCAAACAAAAACAAATCTAAGGCCAGATAATACCTGTGTTTTGGTTATTGTAATCCATTTATTGAATCAGTAATCCCACTGATCATCTAGATAATATGTGAAAAATTCAAACCAACCAAAATCAAGAGGCCAGAGAATATTCCAAAAAATGTCATTATGGAAGGAACATTTGACATTCCAATTGACCTGTGCATTGAATATGCTATTGTAAGTCTGTTTGAGAATCAAGAGTAGTCACCTATTACAGAGAGTGAAAGAGGTTTTTTTTAAACAGTAAAGTTCTCTTCTGCCAAAGTGCAGGCTTATCAAAGGGATTGTGACAAACACGTCCAGCCATTTTTTTGTTTTGTTTTCTCGGTAATTTTTATTATTACATGATTTTAAAAACAAAAAGCGAATAAATAAATATTGTTACAGAAAAACTATTATAATCTAACCTTTACAAATATTTTATTATCAAGAAACATGTTCTCGGATTAATTTGCACTTCTCGTGAGTGCAAATTGGAACCACATTTTTTTTAAGGTAGAATTATCAAACTTTGCAATAATATACCTATGCCTATAGGTAAAACAATTAAAAAAAAAATTTTGATATGGCTCGCCCCGTTCGGCATTACGAGTGAAATCAGTGTCAATATCCTATAGGATATTTTTTTTTCCCATAGGATTTTTAAAAATCCTACAGGATTTTTAGAAATCCTATAGGAAAAAGTCATAATCCCGTAGGATATTTTTAATATCCTACAGGATTTTAAAATCCTATGGGATTTATAATCCCTTAGGAATATAAAAATATCCTGTAGGATAAATTTTCTCCCTTAGAAGTAAAAGAATCCCTTAGGAAAAAAAAAAAGCATATCCTACAGGATATTTTTTTTCCTATAGGATATTTTGACTTGTAAAACAATCCTGTAGGATAAAAAATTTCCTAAAGGATTAACAAAAATCCTAAGGGATTTCATAATAGAAAAAATATCCTGTGGGAGAAAAAAAAGTCCTAAGGGAAAAAAAAATCCTATGGGAGAAATAAAATTTATAAGGGAGAATAAAAATCCTAAGGGAAAATAAAATTTCCTGAGGGAGAAAAAAAAGTCCTAAGGGAAAAAAAAATCCTATGGGAGAAAAAAAATTCCTAAGGGAGAAAAAAAATTCCTAAGGGAGGATAAAAATCCTATGGGAGATTAAAAAAAACCAAAGGAAGAAGATCCTATGGGAGAAAAAATTTGAAAGGGTTCTGCGGAACCCAGTGTCTCTCCTACTTTTGCTGTTGTCTATGGGGAAAAAATTATTAAATATTTTCCTCTAGATACTATCTTTTGATTGTTAGAAGCTTCTGTCCAAGTTTGGTAAAAATCCAGGATGGTTTATGAATCTTATAAATTTTTTAAAAACTTTTAACTGCAGACTGTATGTTATGTTAACAGGAAGAATAAAGAGGTCCATTAAAAGGTAATATACGGATAAACAGGAAATAAATTTTTAAAAAATTTCCTTGTAGATACTAGCTTTTGAACATAAACAAGCTTCTGTCCAAGTTTGGTACAAATCCAGGATAGTTTAAGAAAGTCATTAAAATTTTTAAAACTTTAACCACAGAGTGAATGTAATGTTCACTGGCAGAAAAACTAAGTCCATTTATAAGTAAAATACGGTTAACTCATCCCTAAGAAGCAGCAAACCAAATATTAAGTCATTTTGTTATGCATGTTCTGAGAAATATCTGTTGGACTACTTGGTCAGGCAGACACGCAAATAAGCACAAAGATTGGATAGCGCTCACTCCTAGAGTGCAGGTATTATAACTTTAAGAACCAACGAGGTAGCTGTATGGTGACGCACAAATACACATAGGAAAGTTAAGTTTAAACTTTTTAATAAATAAATAAATAAATAAATTACTCTCTTTAAAAACAGATCAAAACATTTGTTTGTCACTATGAATAATAAAACATCATTCTAACATAAGTTCTTATACACTGTCTTTTGTCACAGTTCTTTAAATCACATTAAGAACCATCGAGATAGCTGAATGGTAAAGCACAAATACAAAACAGAAAAGTTAAGTTTAAACTTTGCAATAAATAAATAAATAAATTGTTCTCTTTCAAAACAGAGCAAAATATTTGTTTGTCACTATGAATAATAAAAACATCATTCTAACATAAGTTCTTATACACTGTCTTTTGTCATAGTTCTTTAAATCACATTTTCTTCAACAATGCAGTATCTTTAATCACTTCTCTAAACCCATCTAACACATATTTGATGCGATAGCCTGTAAAATAAGAAAAGAGCATATTTAAATTTAAACAGATAACAACTAAATATTGTTTTAGAAGTATTCATGTTTGAATTTAAAAGGACATATCTATATGAAAATCAAGTTTTCAAGGTGTGCAGATTATTAATTGAAAACTGATGCAGCTTTTGATACAGAATATTATATGAGAGGAGTAATGATTTCATCCATTTGTATGCTTCTTGGCAAATGGGGTATGTAAAAAGCATGGAATCCTCTGTCCTGCCCAGAACTGCTTAAGGTTTCTCTTTTTGAGGTTATTTGTTTATACAATGTCTATTATGAAAATGTTTTAGCACTTTTTTTTTAAATCTAATGTATAATTAGAGAACTTCTGTGATACATATGCTACAAAGGCTCTTCTTCAGTTACACAAAAAAAATTAATATTTGAAAATTCATTACAATTTACATAATTGTTTTTCATAGTATGAACCAGTTCATGCATGAATTTTATTTTAAGTGGAAATGCACGAATAGTTCAAGCAGTTACTATAATTTTTTGAGTAAACATCAGTTCTATTCAATATGCATGAAGTATTTGCAAATGGACATTAACATTAATAAAAATCAATCCATCAACAGATTTTGACAATATCCCAAATTATAAAAAAATGATGATTTGCTGACTGCATGCATTTAGTTACTTGTATTCATACCACAATTTATTTTTCAATGGTATAACTTATAATTATGAAAAATAATAACTAACCGTCTTTTAAAACTGCAGTAATAACAGCATCGTACCATTTCTTATCATTGGAATAGTAGGCAGACACCTTTTCACCTTTAGTAAAGACCTAAAATATAGAATTTATTTTAAATATTTTCACAAACAAATACTGTTAAAAAGAATAGAAAAGTAATGCAGTAATTTTGAAGGTAAAATGCATATTAATAGTTTATTAATTTCTCATATTTGTGGAAGACAGCACAGAAGTTTTGTTGTGTCTAAATAATGTGTAAATTACACACAGCAGAACCCATACAAATTGTATTTTAAACTGAGATCAGAGTTAGACAACTCTCAGCTAATCTGTCTAGATATGTTAGCAAGTGTAAATGCTGGACATTGTTAGGCTAAAAATAGTTTAAGAAGTATTTTTTTAATACTAAATTGACAAACAACCATTTTTGCTGCATTATTTGTTTAAGACTGCAATAAATAATTGGAAAAAAAATATCTCTGGTTGAAATAATCCATACAAGTTACAGGCCATTAGCTGCAAGATGATAATTTTATTTCCCGATAAGGTTTCATACTTCATAAATAATAACTAAATTTTAGTTATGTTATTGACAAGATGTCTTACCATAGATTACTTCACTATTATTTTTTTTCTTTTAAACCAAATTGAGCTAATAGACAAAACTGTCTATAGACAATGTTGAAAAACATATGGTGACCTATCAATGTTAAAATCTAGGTAATTTGGTCTCTGGTAGACAGTTGTCTCATTGGCAATCATACCACATTTTCTTATTCTTATAAACGATGAGAAAATTAATTTAAAAAAAAATATATATTACATGAATCTCTTCTGTCTGGTCATCTTCTTGTGTTTTTTCTGCACGCTTTCAAAATAAAACAAATACAAACATAAAAATATGGCATAACAGTATCATATTAAACATGTTAAAAGTCGGGTGATGATTATTATAGAAGTAAAAGAGAACGTCAATATGATATCTTGTAATTGTCATCTGACTAACTTGTACAAAATATGTGATGATTTTGCAAATAGATATTTGCTTATTTCCATATGATTGAGTATAAAAAAAATAAAATGAATTTCAAACTTATCTTTTTGGTATCAGTACATCTTTTTTTAAACTTTGTTTACGATCCACATTTCTTAAATTAAGACTTTTCTTATACTCAACAAATTACACATATATCTAATAGATGCACAAAGGTTGATTGCTATTTATATGTTTGCATATAGATTAATATGGGTCATCTTAAAATTGTGTATTTTAGAATGTAGTAAATAATCAATGAACTTTTTAATAAAAGCTTGCAATTATCAACTTGCTTGAAATAAGAAAAATTACGATCCACTTGGCTTAAATAACTAAAACCATGCATTCATACCTCACGGAGTCTGTCAAGGATGTTTAGAAGCTCTCCTTCTTTGTTTCTTTTTCTGCTACTGGTTGCCTAAAATAAATGTCCCATTTAACAATCAATTATGTTAAGGATGTTAATTGACTTCAATATGTCAAAAGTTTATACTTCTGTCTGAAACTGGATCAAGATTCATATTGCCAGGTTGAACAAAATATTGTTCTGGCAATAAAAAGGTGTATAATAATGATGTTTTACATGAATAAACCAAATTCAGATATGTTAAACTATAAATCTGACTTTTATTGTACAGAATAAATTGTTTAAAAAACTATTTTACACCAATGAAAGCACAATGTCTTTTCTTTCAGTTGTTAATATGCATTTAATGATTAGGTAGCTAGAACTGAAAACCAAATTCATAAAAAAGCTCAATTTTTTAGTGATACAAGAAGATAATTAAGGCACCATAGCTAACACATTTTAAATGTATCATTAACTTTTATCTACTGGCATCTTAATCAGATAATTTACCTTGGAAGTGGATGGTGTTTCTGGAATGGTTCTAACTTGTGAACCTGTTGGTGTATCAGGAATGACATCCAACTCTTCATTCTAAAAGATAAAAAAAAATTCTTTCATAAAAGATCATATAACAAAAATTGAAAACTTCTCATTAGAATAGTATTATATTGTCATATCAGTTGTTGGCTTACAATCAAATGGATGAGGGTATCGATGTGACATTTAAATTTCACTTATATTTTTTTATGATATCTCGATTTCTGAAAAATCTGAAGTAAAAATTTGAAGAAAAAAAATATTTAAAGAACATCAAACTCTTAATGGCTTTATGGGTTATTATAATGGTTCAGCATAACACATGCATTGAGTTTTTTATTAAATCAAGGGTGATTGTCTTTTACGCTTAATCAGTAAGCACCATAAAAATTCAAAATGTGCTTGTCCATAAAAATGTGTATTGTAACATCTGGATATTAGTTTACCACGTTTTGTTATAAATGCATACAAAATTTTTACAATTAACATGATTTCACAAAATTAAGGGTGACCTATGATAAAATAAAGCTTACCTCAATTGTAACCTCCATATCTTGTTCTCTGAGTGAGAGGTCAGTGTCATCAAATTCATACACATCCTACAAAAACATTTAAAGAGTTTTCAATATATATTATTATGTGATGTAAATCATAGAAAGTCACTTCAGTGTATATGAGAAAATACATATCTAGGAAAAGCAACCTAAATTCATCAAGTGTCTATGTTCATTAAATTTTAAACAGCTAAAACTGCTAAAGCCTTAAACCAGTTTCATATTGTAGTTGGTACAGGAAAAAAAATGTAAATGAGTAGTATTTATACATCTACATTCGCAAACTGATGTATTTGATCTGCTACAATTGTTAAATAACATACTTGCCAATGTAATCATATATTTTAATAAAACTTGGTAGATTGAAAGATTGACATATTTGATTGTTGATGACCGCCTGTAAGCCTCTACATGTTTTGTTTTTTTTTCTTGGTTTGGTTTATGTCTAACAGAGGATTCATCGATAATTAAACACTAATGTGTGGTTCTTATTTTTAAAAGCACTCTATCGAGTTGCTCAATAACTTCCTGTCCTTTTCTTGGTATGAACAGGTTTGAAAGTGTGAAAGACAATTGACTGACAATCTGATTGACATCTTACCACTGCCGCACACAAAGTAAAAAAAAAGTACCTGATCTGGTGTCTGATTTCTTTCAACCAACTCTTCCAACTCTTCAACTCGGGACTTCAGTCGAAGAATTTCATTCTACAAAAAAACAAATTCAATGTATATGTTTCATTTAGTTATGTGTTGATGGGGATATTTCAAATAATTGTTGCAATTAGGAATTTGTTTCTTAACTTTTCCAAATAAATGTAAAGTATTGATTTGGAAATGTGGCAACAAAAAAGAAGAGATTATTAGACTATTTACTATTTACAATTCTGATTCTGTTAGTACACAATTTTCACTCAAGATGTTAGACAAAAGGGGGCTTCTGCAATTTAAATTGGAAGTTATAAATCAGTGTTCTTGCCAATTCTTTAAGAAAATAACAATCGATTTAAAGTCTTTAACCTGATATATGATTAAATGGAATAAAAAGATTTAAAACATGGAAGATTACATATAACACAGATAAGTTCTTTACATCCAGGTCTCTCTATATATATATTTCAAAACAGACTGTACAACACCATCTATAAATTACAGCTAGAATTCTTTTAGTGATTTGAACATCGATTACCTCTAATATAATAATGTAAATGAAAACAAAGATATAAATTGAATTTTATTTCAAGCAGAAATATCATGACTAAAATAGACACCTTGTTCATCTCAATAAATGTGCTAGTCCTATGTTAGACAGAACAAGATTTGAACTAAAAGCAAATATTTCACATCTCTTTTTATATATCATACCTGTAACCGTCTCACTGTTGGGCCACTTGGTGTGCTGTTTTGACTCTGATGCTGAAGCTGAAAGATGCAAACAAAAATTGATATTGACTGAAAAGAAAGTTAAGCTCTTTTTAATTAACCAATATCTTTACCAGAGTCAACAATTTACAAATGGACATTGATCCTTGTCTGTTATGGAGACAGTGTATAGAACTAAAGGTGTTTTTTTAATTTCAAAAATTTCCTCAATTCTTTTATTTTCAAAATTACTGATTGATACTACATCTTCTCCAACTTAAATAGGTTACAACAACCTGTTATTTGTGTTTCATTGGCACTGGATCACTTGTTTGTAAAATGATAACTTTTCATAAAACTAACGCTGTAATAATTATAACATTTTTTCAATTTGTTACTGTCAATTTGTCATTTTATATAATGTTAAGATATAAAAACAATATGGACTTTGCTTCACAAAAAGATTACTTGATGCTTGTAACTACAAAAATATGATAAAAGGAAATATACACCATTTGTTATCATTATTGTTATGATAACAGGGGAATATATGATTTTCGATATTTAAGATATAAATCAACAGAAATACACCATATTTAACAAAAACAGAATGCTGCTGTTCTTTAATCATTTTTCTTTGTTATTTCCTTTTACTTATAAGTTACCTTTATATCTTTGGTCTGTTGACGAAACTCTGGCAGATTGATCAGTCCGCTATTCAGTTGACTTAGATGTCTGTGCACTACTACTTCCGATTTGACACCAACAAGATGTTTAAAAAGTCCTGGTTTAATGGTAGTTTCCTTCCTATTTGATTGGTGCAGTAACCCAGCATCATGGGAGTTGATTACATCTATAACCAGGTCAAAACAGCACTCTGGAAGGGTTGACAGGTAAATCTGTTCCTTGAATGAACCACCAAAAGTACCTTCCTGGAATTAAATGTGTTACATTTCAACAATATTTCATTACATTTAGTAACTACACAGTCCTGAGAGATGTTCTATTTTCATTCAAAACAGTAAAAAGATCATGTTCTTATACACAAACATTTTTTTTCAATCATGAGAACTGCCGAAAAAGTTATCGTATTTGTGTGACAAAATTATAAGACATAATTGCCATGTTCATGTCATCAGAAATGCAACTATAAGATTAAAATTATATCAATCTCAATACATTTTTTGTCCAATATAACATCACATTAATATTTGAACTATAAGTTGAATGTGTTTGCCATTTTAATAAACCATTATCCTACATTTCTATATATTGATTATAAAAAAACATTTAATTAGACACATTGCATTCTGGTATGTTGTGAGTTTGACTTTTGTCGATTTTACATAATAAAGCTTTTGTTGAAAGTTGCACAACTCCGAACCTTTTATAGCTGACTAGGCATGTGTGGGCTTTGCTCAATGTTGAAGGCCGTACAGTGACCAATAGTTGTTATTTTCTGTGTCATTTGGTCTGATGTGAAGAGATGTCTCATTGGTAATCATCATGATCATACCACATCTTCTTTTTTAAATGTATACATCATGTACATATTATTTTCCAAATGTGTGTACTGTATTAAACCCAACTTATTTAAAAGTGATACTCTATTAAGCATTTAGTCTTTTCTGGACAATTTTGCACCAAATTCATTTCATGATTTTTTGGTATCATAGTTTTGATCTATGTTTGACATGTTGGGAACAATTTAATTTTCAATTATTTTCTACTGATAAGTCGAAAATAGAGGGCCTGCAAGAATAAATAAGCTGGCTGTTATCCTGATATATGAATTTTAAACTTACATGTTTTGCTGGGTTGAAGCCTAAAAGAGGCATCACCTTCTTTCTCCACAGTCTGTTAGAGGTGTTTAAAAAAGTTTGTCTTGGTGCTGCCCCTGAGTCTGGGTGGGCCTCTCTCATGATCTACAAATATACATTCAGAAATTTGTACTACATTACTACACAAATGCATATCATACCATCATATTTAGGGCAATAAACTCATTGTTTAATTGTTAACTTTCAAATTCAGGCTGATATTATCCACGTTTTTTACTCCGAAATTAAAATTGCTGGCGACGGGCCTAGTTTTGAGAAATAAAGAGAAAACTTGATTTTGATATTTTATCTTATGTAACATTCAAATTTGTAATTGAACTAATAATTTACATTATCCCTATCAAAATGCAAATTTAATATAAAAATCCAATAAAAACACAACTTTCAATTAATTTTGAAGGACATAAACTCATTTAAGATCTATTTAAGTTTTTTCTTGAATCCTTTTCATTGACAAGTATTTTCAACTTCTACCTGATGATGGAAAGGGTTTTCCAAGAAAATATCACAACAATCACACACAATTTGAATCCACTGTAGCGAAAAAAGGGGATGCAGACTATGTACCATGGCACACTTTAAAAGGCCTAAAGGGCAATTACAATAACAGTTTTAAAATTACAACTGTCCAGAATGACCTTTTATATATTCAATTTCAATCCATAATTTATTGACCTAGACCATTGTATTACATTTTGAAAAATCAATTTGGGCATATATCATGCATAAATACCCTTTTATATTCAATTAGCATCATGTTCTAGACCCTCATGGGTGGTCAATAAATGGTCAAGGCTGTTAGTGTAAGTGAAACCAAAAGAATTTTCAAAACAAAAATTTCATTTCAAAACCTTTTACAATTTTAGACTTTGAAAATTTGAACTGCACCAAATATTACTAATCAAATGATTTTGTCTGCTTGAATATAAATCATAATAAGGAATCAAGACCGCCAAAATAAAATAAAACAGGTTTTTAAGTACATGCTATACATTTTCATGACAGTACATGATACAAGTAAAAAATATTGAAGATTGAATAAAAGTTCATAAAATAAATCATATAACATGTATAATATATATTGTTTTCACAAAGAGGCACACCATTTGAGAAATGAGACTACATGGGGTTTTCTATACCATGTATACTGAATCACCTTGTGTGTACTCAATCTGTATACACCATTTATCAGATGTGATAAAATTAAGAATCTAGTACTCACCCTGAGTTCTTCATGCAGACTCTTATGGACAAATTTTGTCTTTGTCTTTTGTGTTGGCTTACTTTTGGCTGCTGGTATTTCCTCTAAAATTTTCAAAAATAATAAATTCCAAATTTTCAATCATTTGATTTTTTTTTTACATTAAACATGTTAAATGATTAAGTAACTTAAGCTGTAATTAAGAAACACATATATTTACAAGTTCCATGATCTGTTTATCATAATAGCAATGTATCTGTTTTAATTATTATATCTAAGTCACAGTGTTAAACAGAGATTTATCATCATCAGGAACGCTCAAACCCTTTACTTTCAAAATCCTGACATGTATAAAGATGTAGAAACATAAGAAGCTATATAACCATAAGAAATCAGAATTCTTTCATTTCTAAAACTAAATATATTTTGGCATTGCACAAGATAATATTTTTTTCTGACTGTTTATCATGTTTATGATGTCTTTTTTATACTAATAAATCCATTGGATGTGTACTGATTTATTATTAAAAACGTAATTGTTATGGGATGTGGGTATTACTCATCTTTGAAGGCCGTACAGTGACCTATAGTTGCTTACTTTACAACATTCGGTCTCTTGATGAGGAAATTGTCTCATTATATCACATCTACCTATTTTTATATTAAAAACATAGTCAAATTCATCCAAGGTCAACTTTGCTTTAAGAAGTTAGAACAGTCACTCACCAGGACAGGACTGATTTTTTATAATGCTGTGTATATTTACTCAAATCCAGTACAATTTTAATTAATGAACCTTAGTGAGCGCGCTCACATACCCCACGTCCCCACATTGTCTTTAGAAATAAAATATGTGTAAGAAAAAAAAATAGTATAAGAAAAAAAAATTGAATCATAATTTCCTGTCAATATGCACATCTACATAGTATGTCCTTATTATCTAAAAAGGTTTCATGAAATTCTGTTGTGAGGTATCAGAGTAGTTGCGATGACAAACTGTTGCAGTAGTACATTGAAGCAAATAAGTTCAAAGGGGCGTAACTCCTAGAAAAAAAATTGAACCGTAATTTCCTGTTGATATGCACATCTACATAGTATGTCCTTGTTATCTAAAAAAGTTTCATGAAATTCTGTTGTGTTATCAGAGGAGTTGCGATGACAAACTGTTGCAGTAGTACATTAAAGTAAATAAGTTCAAAGGGGCGCAACTCCTAGAAAAAAAATTGAATCACAATTTCCTGTCGATATGCACAACTACATAGTATGTCCTTATTATCTAAAAAGGTTTCGTGTAATTCCGTTGTGTGGTTTGAGAGGACTTGAGATGACAAGAAACAGGACAGACAGACAGACAGACAGACAGACGGACGGACGGACGGACAGACGGGTCAAAAACATAAACCCGTTGCGTGGGGTATAATAAACAAAAATTTGTGTCTTTATATATATTTGTCAAAAACAACAATGAAATTTATATAAATCAATTGTATTAGAGAACAATTTTATTTATTTAATCAATAAGATTAATACCTTCTATTCTTGCAAACTGAAGTTGAAGACTGTCAAGTGTATCCTGAAGGTCTGTTAGAAAGTTGGATCTTGATTTCCTGTTTTCCAAAGTTGTGAAGGTTTTATCTACAGCTTTGTATCTGTGCAGGGGGAGGCCTGCCAATATCTCTTCTTCTGCCTGAAGATAAAAAAAAATAATAAAAAAATGTTCTCAACTTGTCTTAATAAGCATGTAACAAGAGTGGAGCAAGACTGAATACACTAATGACTAAAATACCTTGTACCAATAGCAATATTAAACTAGAGGCTCTAAAGAGCCTGTGTCGCTCACCTGTATTTACTGATGCTTTGGAAATCATGTAAAATAAGGTTAAAATTATAATTAATAGTATTAGATATTAGATATTATAATGATATCTACGATAATAACAAAAAACTGCAAAATTTTGTAAAATTACTAACTCAGGGGCAGCAACCCAACAACGGGTTGTCGGATTCGTCTGAAAATTTCAGGGCAGATAAATCTAAATCTGATGAACATTTTTGCCACCTGTCAGATTTGCTCTAAATACTTTAGTTTCAGAGATATAAACTGCATTTTACCCCTATGTTCTAATTTTAACCAAGTCGGCCATGATGGTTAGAAGGCGTGGTCATCGGACACATTTTTTTTAACTAGATACCCTAATAATGATTATGGCCAAGTATGGTTAAATTTGTCTCAGTAGTTTCAGAGAAGAAGATTTTTGTAAAAGATTACAAAAATTTACGAAAAATTGTTAAAAATTGACTTAAGGACAATAACTCCTAAAGGGGTCGACTGACAATTTTGGTCATGACAACTTATTTGTAGAACTTACTTTGCTGAACATTATTGCTGTTTACAGTTTATCTCTATCTTTAATAATATTCAAGATAATAACCAAAAACTGCAAAATTTCCTTAAAATTACCAATTCAGGGGCAGCAACCCAACAACAGGTTGTCAGATTTGTCTGAAAATTTCAGTGAAGATAGATCTTGACCTGATAATCAGTTTTACCCTATGTCAGATTTACTCTAAATGCTTTGGTTTCAGAGATATAAGCCAAAATCTACATTTTACCCTTATGTTCTATTTTTAGCCATGGCGGCCATCTTGGTTGGTTGGCGGGGTCATTGGACACATTTTTTAAACTAGATACCCTAATGATGATTGTGGCTAAGTTTGGTTAAATTTGGCCCAGTGGTTTCAGAGGAGAAGATTTTTGTAAAAAGCTAATGACGACGGACGCCAAGTGATGAGAAAAGCTCACTTGGCCCTTCGGGCCAGGTGGGCTCAAAATAAAGAATATCAAATTTAACTTTGACCTTGTTTCAATTTCAATGAAATCTCAAATCAACTTATTTGAATATCTGGGGAGGGGGGAACTCATATCAATTCACCTGAGTAGAGGACTCAGACCAAATTGAAATAAAGTCGTGTATGATTGCATTTTAAAATTTCACAAAACCTTAATATTATGATCATAACTTGCTAAACCTTAAATTTGCCATTTAAAAAGATTTCAACATAACATATAATATTGACATGATTCAGTAAGAGTCCATCCTTTTTTTAATGTATGGATAGTTCATTGATATGATTTTTTTATAGCAAAAAAATGTGAGATTAAAGAGAGATGATCTAATTTTTAAAACCATAGTAAATTAATACATTTTGTGTAAGTGACCTAACCCTGGAAGTTATAAAAATGCAAGTTGCTTTCAATGCTATTAAAACTTTGGAATCCTGAACTTATGTGAAGTAGGTTACTTAGGCCAGGAAAAAATATTGTTGATTCCCCTAACCCGGTCTATTTTAAATGGCCAGGTCAGTTATTTTTGGGGAATATGGTAGAATATGAAAATAAAAATTCTGGCCCCCATTTAGATGTTTGATTTTATAGGTGAAAATAAATAATCTAGCTTTTACTTCGCATATGAAAATAAATATTCTGGCCACAAATATTTAATATGTTTAAGATATTTTTGGCTCTCTTTAATCTTCCAATAGTGATAGATCATTCAGTATGCAAAATTTGAAAAGAGCAATTTTTTTGTCAGGGGTAATTTTGAGGGCCAATAGATTACACCCCTTCCTTTTGACCTGAAAAAATAAAAGTTTATTTCTGAAATCTTCAACATCAATAAGATTGCTACATTTGCTGGAAATTTTACCATTCCATACTTTCATATCAAAAAATTTATATATAGGCTTCAATTTGACTGCTCTTTTTGTTTGCAGTTATATGTGCATCCTAAAAATATGTTGTGTGTATCACATAAAATACAAGTTAAGGCGATAAATTTATTCTGAAAAAGGGGTGGGGGCAGTTTTGGTGCGTTTGTAGATCAACAAAAAATAAATATTCTGGCCTTGATTATGATCAGAGTGAAAATAAATAATCTGGCCACCTTACTTTTTATTTTGTAAGTTCCCACAGAGAATCTCACCTTAAATTCAAAAATTTAAAGTGCCAGGATGTTTGAAAATGTGTATTGGTTAATTTTGAAATAAATATTCTGACCTCTTCAAATTTGCCAGGCCCCCACCTCAGAAATGTTCATCACTGAAAGGGGCATATTAGCTGTCAAATTCATGTTGACTGATTTGACTCAAATTCTCATATTTGGTTTATAAAATACTAAAACCTATACACATGATGCATGTATATATATCAAAATTACAATAAGTCTGAAATAAACAGTTAAAAAAGTGTGCTCCAAAATATATTATATTAGAATTTCTTGTGTATTTTAGTCTAGACGCCCTCTTATCAACTATCAAGATGACCTCTGAAGACTGCCGATGGTCATATAACCTGATATAAACATAAACATAAATATAAACAGATAGTGAACTCATGCAATTGGAATTTAGGTTTGATTTCATTTCATTTCATAGGTTGAAAAAAAGTTAATTATCGTTTTTACCTGTAAAAGAATGATTTTTTGTGGATCGAATCAGTCAATGAAATAGTTTATCTTTGTTTCACTTTCAGTGTTGACATTCTTTTCCTTTTAATGGCTGAACACAACTTGCATGTGTAACCAATCTCTAGCTAATGTCAAGTTAGCAAGTGAATAATTCAACAATGATGTTTCTTTGCTTATTTTGACAAAATCTAACCAAATTAGATGATTTTAAAAAGCGAAATATTATTTCATTATTTCATTTTTATTATGATTGAACAAAATCATATTCTATTTTCCTTCATATCTCGTAGCTAATGCCCATGTTTCAGTAATTTGGTGTCCATTGGCAAAGACTTAACATAAGGGAGCAAGCATTTAACTTCAAGATGGTGGGGGGCGGGGGGGGGGGGGTATGTTTTTTTTTCTTAGTAATTTTTTTTCATGCAAAGCGCGAACAAATTTATCTAGTTTTCGACACGATCAATTGGTTATTTTTTCAAAATGTAACACTAATCAGGTTTGGTGGAAATTTGCATTCAGAATAAATTATTTCTGTCAAATGAACTGCTTGACCAGAATATTTTTTTTCATCAAATTGGGGATCAGAATATTTTTTTAGAAAAAAAGACACGTTTCGTGTTACCTGCATGCATAGGCTCTGCTTTAGTTTAGATAGCTGCAGAATCGTAGCTCATAAGTCCTTATGATATACTTTTTCTGACAATTTACGCAGCTAGGCTCTAGCATGGAAAAACTTATGGCGGCTTTTTAAACATAAATCTGGGCACCTTAATTGGATATAAGTAATGCATGTGATATGCAGAAATTATCGACACGAGAGAAACCAGTCAATGTAAATAAATAATTTTAGAATCTGGTGGGAAATGCCAAGAGGTTCCGGATTATTAATCAGTTATTACAATAAACATTCATGCACTACAAAATTAAAAGGCTAAGATCTATAGCATGGAAACTGAAACGAACTGTCCTCCCATATAACCAACCTGAAATTAAACTTCCCCAAAGACATTTTGAGGTTTGGGTTTAAAAAAACTCATTTTCAAAGTTTTGCGAAAATCATGACCCACAGATATAAATCATATAAATCGTATATTTCATAGCAGAATCATACACTTATATAAGACATGTACAATGATTTCAATTGGTCACATTTTATTTAGACGTGAAAAGTTCATAACCCATTTTACTTATACATAATACTCTCGATGGAAATGTGTTTATGACACCTTACAGTGTGACCCTTAAAAAAGAGATTCATCCTCCCCTCAGCCTCTCACAGGACAAACAATAATAAATATATCTATACCTTTTAAGATTACGCTATTTTTATAGAAAAAAAATATATTTCATCTTAATTTCTCGATTTTATCACATTTACAAATTTACTGAAAATAGCGACTCACTCCTATAATTAACGTAGTAAGTCTAACCATAGACATATAATATAATTGTATTATTTATGTCTCTGGTCTAACGTTGAGAAGTGAGCCAGTATATCCCAAACTTATACATGGGCCTTAAATTCGAACGTAAATTCTTAAAGTGATTCATTAACCGTTCTAACTTTGACAATTTTAACTTTCTTTATTTCAAATTAAATCAAGCAGCTGAAATAAAGATCTTAAAGGTGAAAGTACTTACCTCGTCTTCATCAGTTGAAATCTTCACGTCTATTGTTGTCACTTCACCTAAGGAAACTTCAAGTACGGGGAACAGACCAGGTTTGTTGGTGCAGGCAAACATCAGTGTGTTGTTTTCTGAATCACTAGTGAACCACCAAAAAAGGGCTTTGCTACTGCCCGAAGCCATACTTTGCGTTAAGATTAATTCACTTTAAGAGTTCGAATGAAAGGTGCGTAGATATGAACTCTGACAGGGGAAACAAGTCTTAAAATGAGAAATTAATTAGCCAATCATGTGATTGACCAATTAGGGTTGGTAATTAATCAGGTATGGTCATTCTAATTGGTAGACCAATCACTGATAACTGCATAATATGAAATGGGAGGGGCTAAATTAGAAGAAAAAACGAACACTTTCTATTTTTTTTTATTATATAAATTATTTACGTTTTTGAAATAAATGATAATCCTAAAAATTTAAAAAAATAGCTGAAACCTTTTATTTCAAATGTTTTAATTTGATAGTGGCCTACATTGTATGTGTTGTCGACAGTCAGAAATACACAGTATTGTACATATCGATGATTTTATATAAAAAAAAGATAGAATTAAAGTTACGTTTATATAAGGCTGGTTAGTATCTGTAGAAAGTAGCGAAAAACGTACTAGGTAATTGAAAAATAAAAAAAATAGAATTTAGTTTTGACGAATATATATAAAATTAAAATTTAGTTCCCAAGAGTTTTTAGATTACTGTTAAACAGTTATAATTGCCAATTTTTACCTCAATTGCGTAGTAGTACAAAATAATGTACACTACAGCTGAAATTGAAAAGGAAGATATACTGATGTGGGTAGAGAATTACTCGAAGGCAGTGGGTTGAAAACGAATATCACTTTGTATTAGTATGCCCTTGCCTATAGATGAATTTGGTCGTAGCATTTGTCGAAATTGAATTGTCCCTATATTACAGTATTTATTTAAGTTAACGTCTGATTAACTTTTAAAACAAACACATTCATTATTCTAAAGAAATTGTGTAATTACATAAAATTCGCATGGTCATTCAGATCTCATATTGTTACTCGAACTGATTTGTTTTCTTTTTATGTCTTTTTGTATTGCTCTCTACTTTTTATCATTTGTCATGTTGTAAAAGTTCGTTGCTTAAGCATAATGCTTTCTCCAATAACTCAAAAATGTTTTGTAAACATTCCTGTTATTGGTGCATACAATATTATTTCATTATTATTAGTATATGTATGTATCCTACAAGCTGTATTGCTTTTGGAATAAAGTATTATTAATGTTAAAAAATATATCATTCACTACCACTCCCCTACTAAAGAGTTATGAAACAAGGTTAAAAAACCGTCTCCACTCAACACCCTTGAGACCTATACGGTCTCTTAAAATACAGCAAATATACATCTCTTATGTTACTTTATATTAATAAGAAATTTCCGACACTTTTCCCAACATGCACTACACTATATTCTTTTTGTCAAATTTTCTTACTGATAAATAGATATATAAAAAGACGTGACATGAGTGCCAATGAGACAACTCTCCATCCAAGTCACAATTTGTATATAAAGTTTTTAAGTTTTTTATTATATATGTCTTTATTCTCATAAAGCCAATGCATGACATAAGTACAGAGATAACAACAATAACTATTACAATATATACAAAACAAGGAGAGAGGTTACAAAAGTCACTAGCCAGGAGGACAAACAAAAGAATTAATATTTTTAATAAATGAACAAAGCTTCTTCAGGACTGGTTTTCGTGTATTCGACATCAGTTGTCGTTGCACAAAATAGGAGGATAAATACTTTATACGTTTTTGATCGGAAAAAAGTACATTCAAATATATAGTGATATTCGTCTCCAAATGGTTGATTATTATATTGATGGCAAACACGGTTTTCTCTTAATACGTTTTGCCACCTTCCTGTTTCAATCGGCAATGCCAATTTGTTATTAGTCGTTCGAAATAGACAAAGAACAACGGTATCTTTCAAGTCCAAAATATTGAAATATTCCTCAAATTCCCACTATATTTTAGTAGTTAATAGCTTTTAATGAATTATGGATAAGCGAATTCCAATTCTGACTAAACTGGTTTAACAATCTTTGCTTTATAACAGCTTTTAACCAATTTTTATTTATGAAATTTTGTGTTTCCCTTATATATAACAAACCACAATCTTGAAATATTTTTTTGACAAATATAATCCATTTAGTCTGCATGTTATAATGAGCGTTCATATGGCGAGAAAGTTGATATGATATAAAGGAAAACTTTTCTTGTTTACCGGATATCAAATTTGCCCAAAATTATACTGCTCGAACTTTTATATCTATGTTGATCGGATGACGACCTAGTTCCCCGTAAACCATATAAATTTGGGTTTGAGGATTTCAGATTTAAAAGTAATTTTCAGAATTTTAAATGTATCTTTTCTAATATCTCATCATTACTAAAACCTCATACTTCGCACCCATGGGCTTGATAATGTTGTAAAAAAAATCAAGCTGACATTTTACAGAAAGCTGATACATCCTTCCCATTTTCAGGACTTCGTACATAGCTTTTAAGGCCTTATCGGATAAATGTTTTTTTGTTTTTTTTTTGTCATATTATAATTCCCTGTTTTAGTAAAAACAATTCCAAAATAGTTAAACTGCTTTACTATCTCAATGTAAAAGTAAACGATTATAGGTTTAAGTACGGTCTTCAAAACGGAGCATTAATTATAGTGTATGGAATTATTCATTTGGCTCTTTTTATACCTATTTGTACATAAACTTTTTACAATTTTTACAATTTATTATTATTTTATTTTTATTATTATTATTTTTAAATGACTATTGTATCTCTCATTTTACTTTTCATAACTTAGCTGACACTGTTTATGATTACACAAGGATGTAAAGAACACCTGCATGTGGATTATCCATTTAGAGTTAAATTTAAGCAACATCACAGAAGTTGTTCTAACTGTTCCTGTAATAAAAATGACACTATTTTCTTACATCTATTTTATTTTCACACCTCTCAGTCGTTCCGTTAATACACATGGTTGTAAAAGTACACCTGTGACGTGACAGAGGTGTGAAAATTTTAATCTGGTAATTGAGATTAAATATTGATAAAGATACAAAGGTAATCAAAGTACTGAAGTACTGAACATCGGATGACCACAAGTTCTTGTGGATGGTCAAAAGCACTTGTCTCCGAAAAAAACAACATATCTCTTTACCTAAAACTGAGGTTAATGTACAGAGATATATTTTTTTCTGAGACAAGTTCGTGCGTGGATGATGACTTCAACTTCACCGTAATAACTATTATATTGTAGTGATACAAATCAGTATACACTGAGTTGTTGTTTATATTATATTAAAATAACAGTTACATATATATATGATTTGAATCCATTTGTATATCATTCTATTCTACTATTCTAAAAATAGTGCAATGCAAGTGCATGGTGGACACTTTTCTGTAAAAATTCAATTTTTCTAAGATTGGATACGAGTAGGCATTCATATTTTCCCGCAAAATCAATTACAGAGTTACCGGTCCTTGACGGTATTTTCACAAAACGTTCTTTGAGATATTCTTCCGCATGCTTTAACACAATTTTTCGGTACGTGTGCCCCTGTCCCTATCCAATTTCCCCCCGGTGGATCGCTATCCTTGCCGTGGTCGGGGGGCTTGTGTGTCGCAGTGACCCCAAAAGCTATGCCAGCTGGAGCTTCGTCTCCTGGTAGGGTTACCCATGCTGGACAGGTCGAAGGGTAGAGACCAGACTAAAGTGATCCGAACATCGTACGAGTTGCCCGATGTTTTGAATAAAATAGGCTCTCCAACCCGTTGGCCGTGGGTTGCTACCCGTGTCGGTGGTTGACGAGATCCTTGCGGATGAGGGCTGTAGTCAGACTCCTTACGGTCAGAAAATACCCGGACGGACGAGACTATAGTTCAATAAGCTGCTTTGGCTCTGATATCATCTAAACGGGAGGTCGGATGGACCCGGTTCGATCAATCGGCTGGTCATGTCGAGCCCTTCAGTTAATCCTCAACAATAAGCTTTCTTGTAACAATTTTCATTATATACACATGTATTTGAATTAAGCTATTTATATTTCGGATAACTGAAGAAGGCGATGGCTCATGGGTCAATCAAGTGGTACGCTTTCTATTTCGCTTGATGGATACGCTCTGCTTGAGTATACTATTCTTGGAACATCTGGTGCTTTCCGCAGTGGATCTTGGGTGCTAATTTTGGG